AACCAAATTCGTAGGGGTCAGAACGGATTAACCGTATTTACATTGAACCTTATGGGAATATTTGATTCAGGTCGCAACCAAATTCGTAGGGGTCAGAACGGATTAACCGTATTTACATTGAACCTTATGGGAAAATTTGATTCAGTTGGCAACCAAATTTGTAGGGGTCAGAACGGATTAACCGTATTTACATTGAACCTTATGGGAAAATTTGATTTAGTTCACAACCAATTCGGTTCGCGACCAGAGTCGTGGAACGAATTAAGTTCGTGAACCGAGGTACCACTGTACATGTTTTCCATTTCCTGAAACAGGCATGCTATACTTATTAAATATTGCACAACAATACTGCACAGAGAATTTCCATAGCCTTAATTTACATGACTAGCCTCCACCAAGCAGAGTATACAAGTTCTGAATTGCTCGCCTGGCAAATCTTGACATCTTCAGTTCATAAAAATAGTTCAGGGATCTGTAACAGGATAGAGCTACTAGGACTTATTAAAATGCAGACCACAAAAAACAAAATAGAACTACTGCTTGTACCTACAACTCGCAGCTCAAGCCATTCAAATGCATTATTAATAAGCTGCAACCCATACTGGACAATGATGTTGCATTTTCTCAAACACTGGGTGGCAGACCCATATTTGCATATAGACAAGCACCCAACCTGAAGTTGAGTCTCACAAGCAACAAGAAGCAGAATAATGATGCTAGCATAGAAAGCAGATCCTGCAGCAAACCCAGATGTCAACCAACCCCTCCCATTTAACTGACAGCACTATTACAAGCCCCAACAACTTCAAGATTACATGCACCTTTACATGCTCCTCCTATAACATCATATATGCCATCATTGGCCAGCAGTGCCCCCTCTAGATTCTAGGTTGGACAAAAAAGGCCAGACATTATGCAAAGGAATTAACAGACACAAGTTCGACATCAGGAGTCAAAACAAGAACTAAGTATTATCGCAGCATTTTAACCCCCACTTGATTACAGAACTTAAGATAGCTGTTTTGGAACAACAAAACTACACCAGTATTACAGAGTGCAGAACTCATACACATCAAAAGATTTCAGGCTATCTCAGAATATCTCAACAAATACAATGGGTTTTTTACACATTACAACTGCTAATTGCTGAGGTACTTAAAATCTGTCTCACATGCAACCTGCATCTGTATAACTACCCTTTCTTCCCCCCTAGCCTCATCCAATTTAAATCCTATATCAGTTTAACCATACCATGCATCTGATGAAGTGAGCTAAAATTTACAAAAGTTTCTGCTTTTTAATAAAACTTGTTAGTCTATAAAGGTGCTACTGGACTCCTCCTGATTTTTAGAAAATTGAGTTACTTCTCCACTGTTAATGCAAGAACTTGTAACACTAATTCACAGTAGCAGGGGTAAATGATTACACTGATGTTGGACTCATCAGTATTCACCTGCATTAAGCAACAATTTAGCTTGTTACCTCTAAAAAGCCCCTGGACACAAAAATTGTTATTTTGTCCCCCTCTCCTCACACCCCAATATGTAGCAGCAGTTATGGCCTGAAAGTGAGTATTCTGAGGGAGTGAAACTGTTAACTCAGCCACCTGTGTGTTAGATCCATATCCCTCCTGGTTAGCTAAGGTTTCCCAGAAGATGGCATGAGCTTGGATTTTAGCAGTGGTAAATTCACCCTTGAGAGAAGGGGTGGTCTTGCCATTGCTTGAAGAGGCAATAGTTTACCCCTTCCTCAAGAAGCCATTTCTGGATCTGACAATTTTGGTTAACTTTTGTCCCATCTCCAATCGTTCCTCTTTAGGGAAGAAGAGGACATGGTCACGCAGCAGCTTCAGACAATCTTGGAAAAAAGAGATTATCTGGACCCTTTTCAGTTGGGTTTTGGATCTGGGCAAGAGACCAAAATGGCACTTGTGGATGACCTCTGGCAGAAGTGGGATGGAAATGGTGTGTCCATCCTGGCTTTTCTTGATTTCTCAGCTGTTTTTGATACTATCAATCCTGGTATCTTTCTGGACTAGCTCTGGAGACTGCAAGTGGGAGGTACAGTTTTGCACTGGTTCTCCTTTTTCCAGGACTGATTCCAGTTGGTGTTCATGGGGGAGAGAGATTTATCCCATGGCCCTTTCTCTGTGGGATTCCTCAGAGTTTGACATTCTCTCCACTCCTATTTAACACCTACATGAAGCTGCTGGGTGAGGTCATCTGATGGCATGGGGTGAGGTATCATCAGCATGCTGATAAGCAGCTTTACATATTTGCCTGGCCTGACCAAGTGATGCTGTGGAGGTTCTGTGTCAGTGTCTGCAGGCTGGGAGGGGGGGCCTGGATGGGAAAGAACATGTTTACATTTAACCCCGGCAAGATTGAGTGGCTATGGGCTTTAGGCCTCCCTAGATCCAGTATTCTTCCATCATTGGTTGTGGATGGGGTTGCACTGCCCCAAACAGAACTGGTGCACAATTGGGGGTCCTCCAGGACTCACGGCTCCTGTTCAAAGAGCAGATGGCAGGAAGGCTTTCACACAAATCAATTGCACCCTTTCCTGGATTGGGAGGTACTACTCATAGTCACTCACATCTAAGTCACCTACCAAGTGGATTAGTACATCACGCTCTACATGGGTCTACCCTTGAAGACCATCTGGAAGTTACAGCTGGTCCAGAATGCAAGGCATGGGCAGTTACAGGCACACCTCAGTATGCCTATATTATGTATCTATTCTGTGAGCTGTACTGGCTCCCAGTGATGCTTCTAAGTGGAATTCAAGGTGCTGGTTGTCACCTATAAACCCTCCATGGCATGGGGGCAGGTTATCTGCAGGACTGCCTCTTCCCAGTTGTTTCTACCTGTCCCAGTAAGTCCACAGGAGGGGCACACTCCAGGTCCTCTTAATTAAAGAATGTCATCTAATGGAACCTAGGAAATATGCCTTTTCTGTTACAGTGCCTGCCCTCTGCAATACCACATCCCCCGAGATTAAATTGGCCCTTACCCTGCTAGCCTTTCATAAAGCGCTGAAGACCCAGATGTGCTCCAGAGCCTGGGAGTTGGGAAGTTAGATGGACCACTGAAAGGTTTTTGTTGATTGTTTTGTCTGGGTTACACCAGGTGATCACTGTAAATTTTTACTCTGTTAATTAAAAAAAATGTTTCTACATGTTGTTAGCTGCCCAGAGTCATCACTCTATTGTGGTCGTTAAGTGAGGACTACCTGTATTTGGGATGCTAGCACAGGACATTTAAGGCATTAAGCAAAGAATGTGCAATAATCTTCCCAATTTGGATTATTTCAACAGTTCAAATTAGTGACCGCACTGGCTGGATCTAATGGAAACAGTAAACCAAAACATTTAGAGGATTATGAGTTGAGGAAGACTGAATTGCTTTCGATTGTGATAACTGGTTC